CCTTCAGCACCAGTATTAAAACGCCCCTATCCATCTGAGCCTTTCGTGGTAGAGGTAGATGCTTCAGAAACAGGTGTTGGAGCAGTTTTGTCTCATCATTCTGGAAATCCTCCTAAGTTACATCCCATAGCTTTTTACTCTCACATACTCACAACCCTAAATGAAATTATGGCATAGGAGATTGAGAACCTTAGCCATTAAATTAGCTCTCAAGGAATGGTGACATTGGTTCAAAGGTGCTAATCACCGTTCTGTCATCCTTACTGATCACAGGAATCTTGAATACCTGCACACAGCTAAACATCTTAATCACCGACAAGCATGCTGGCCCTTGTTCTTTTGTAGGTTAAGATGTAGTAGTAGAGAAATAGATAGAGATGAAGAAATAGAAAGGGCTTTTGAGAACCTCTCTATACCAGATCAGTATCCTTCCAGTAAAACTTACGTCCCGTATCACTTGGGCTCATTCGTACCTCACCTTTGGACATCCAAGTGAGACGAGAACACAACAACTTATTGCAAATCGGTACTGGTGGGAATCCATGAATATGGACATTTATAAATTCATAGCTTCCTGTTCTACTTGCTCACAGTGTAAAACACCAAAGACATTGTCAGCTGGTAAACTTATACCTTTGCCCATGTCTGCTAGACCCTGGTCACACATTGCTATTGACCTGCCAGAATCACAAGGATTTACTACCATTCTTACTATTATAATATTATCTATTCGCTTCTATATCTACTGCATTTCAAACGGCTGAAACATTAGTTAACTAAGTCTTCTGGTACTTTGGAATACCAGAGGACATCCGGTCTGACAGGGGTCCCCAGTTCACATCACAGGTTTGGTCTGCTCTTTTTGAACACAGCATTTTCAGTTAGTCTTACTTCAGGTTTTTGAACAGTGTGAACATATGAATCAAGTATTGAGGAAATTTCTGAGGATTTTTTTGTCTCAACAATATTAATGATGGGTCTTGATTTCTTGTGTGTTAAGGAGATGGCTCACAACTCTCTAATAAGCTCAGCAACTGGCATTACCCTGTATCACCGTGTTTAGGATTTTAACCTCTAGTTGCCCCATTGAACATCATCAGATGTTCCTGCTGTGGACGAGTGAATGCAATGTACTGAGGGAGTTTGCGAGGAAACACACCAGAGAATTGGGACTGTTCTCTAACGAAACAAGATACAGGCAGATCAGCATCAGGGAGAGACCCCTACATATCAGCCTGGAGACCAGGTTTGGCTGTCGCCTAGGGACTTCAGGTTTGCAGAGAGAAATAGGAAATAGAACCCAAAATATATTGGCCCATTTACGATTCCTGAAAGAATTATTGAATTTACTTATAAACTTGACTTGCCTTCTTGTTATTGAGTTTCCCGTTCCTTTCATGTTTTTCTCTTCTCAAACCTGTGGTTCCAGGTACGTTGGATGAGGCTTCACCTGATGCCACAAAACCCCCTCCAGAGGAGGTTGACGGAGCCCCAGTCTATGTTGTCTGAAGGTTGCTGGACTTCAGGAGACGAGGAAGACACCTCCAATATCTGGTCGACTGGGAGGGATACGGCCCAGAGGAACAGTGCTGGGTGCCGACTCGCGATGTCCTGGACCCAGGCTTGATCATGGATTTCCACAATCAAAACCCAGAAAAGTCTGCTTGTGTCATCATGAATCATGGAATTTTAACTGGCAATTAATTGAAATATTAATAATTATGATTAACAATTTACAAGCTCTAAGCAGCCAAATTGGCTGATTAGCTATATTGCTTCCTATACTATGTTTACTTAGTAGCTCATATTGGAATACTGTCAAATGATAAACTACACTCTACACACACACACACAAATATCTACAGTTACACAGAATTATATGTAGAGTCAAGCAAATCTACATCTTTCTATTAGAGTGAAGGTTTAAGCAAAAAAAAAAAAAACCTGCTAATATACATGCTAAACATGTAACAATTAGCTACACAGCTAACAAATAAATCAACGTTCCTTTCGCTGTCCTCTAAACTTGTTAGAGCATCATATTTTCATAAGCCCATGATGTCTTAATGAATGCATTTAATGCTTTCTTTTATTTACATTTATTGGCCTCAACCCAGTGCACTCAATTCACATTATGATGTGGAAATCTAACAACTGTGGAAAATGACTGTGGTCTGATTGTATAATTGTGTTCAGCTCTAGAAATTGTGTTCATCTCAAATAATTGCGATAAAGTTATTTTGTCAAAATTGTGGCAGACTTAGAGTTCATGAAATGATGACCAGAATGTTTTCATTTTTGGCTGGCTGAATATGAACTCAAACTTCAAAAGTCAAACTTGTATTTATTTAAAATGTGGTTTTAATTTAAACAATACAATTTTTTTCTGTAAATTTCATCTCACACTTTTGCATTGCAGCTTGTTTCATGGATCCAGAACTTTATCCTGAATTTATAATCCTGTGTTACAATCTATACTCACATAAATTATAAAAAATGGTACGGTATGGAGAAAAAGAAAATCAAACAGTCCTCTGAAATGTTGATATTAATAACAATAAAAGATTTAATACCAAAGGGCTAGTGTTGCCATCACCAAAAGATGATAATTTTTTACAGGCAAGTTACTTTACAAAGTAAAAGTCAATTACAAAACAACTATCAAAAGAAAATGAATAACAATTCATTGTTTCCACAGAAAATCATATAATCAATAATTCAGTGTTTGTACTAAGACTATGTGGGATGCCTAAATCAAATAATTCTCTCAAAATATGAGAGAAGGAAAAAAAATAAAAAGTGTGAATAATAAAGTGTATATTAAAATGGGACTGTAGTAGAGTAATGGCAGCCAAGGGCCAGATAAGATAAACATACAATCAGAAAAATTCAGAATCATAAACTCATTGGTTGCAGAAGAGTTCATTCAGCCTGTTTTGTTATTTTGATTTTACCAGATAAGTGTATTGTATATGTATTGGTGCATCTGTAAACTTTATGGTAGTATTTCTGTGGGTTGAAAATGTCATTTGTTGATGTTAACAGCTAACTTGTAGTACTACTGATTCAGCCCAGTGATAAATGAGCTTTATGGAAAGACTTGATATTCAACTCAGGTCATCTCAAGTGTTTTCAGTGTTTCAGAGTTACACTACAATTCATGGGAATGGAATGGAATTAAGCTTAGTGTATTAACTCCATTGCTTGGAAATCTCCTCAGGCCTTATGAATTTTTCTTGAAATGTTTTTCCAGTTCCTCCTGGAATCTGCACACAAACCTTTTATAGTACAGCATCTCAGAATTATCAGGGCTGATGTTCCATCTGCCATTTTCTCCACCTGCATTTTTGTAGTTTTTTAGAATAAAACTTTAGCATTTGCACAACAAAGCAGCTACCTTGAAACAAGTATTGTGCAGAAATCGATTCCAAGCTCATTTGTAAACATGAAAGACCAACCATTTGTTCCTTGGTTGTTGTGGAAACAGATACTGTGATCTCCAGTATGATCTTCCATTGTGTTGGTGCAGATGGCATTACAGAAAGGACACTGCGCAGCAGCATCGGCAGAGGTGCTCAATCAGAATCTCATCTGATTCCTTTCTGAACATTTTCTCTTTGAAGTTAGAAATGCTGTGAAAGCTTTTGCTCAACTTTGTAATGATGTTTAGACGTTTAATCACAACCTCAGTCAAGGGCTTTAATTTCTTTCTGCTTAAGACATGACCTTTCTTTAAACTGAAGCTCATATTTTAGCTCTCTGGATAAATACTGCAGCCACATGTTGACATCTCCTGTTGTTGTTGCTCTGTTTTGTTGTTGTACTCACAACCCCTCAGTTTAAGCTGCTTTTATGGTTTCTAGAACCACTGGACAGTGGTCAATGTTAATGAAGTCATTAACTGTCTTCTTAATAAATTATTCATATGTTCTCTAGGTAACCGCTGGGATAGGCTCCAGCACCCTCTGCAACCCAGAAGGATAAGCAGCTTAGATAATGTACGTGTATGTGTGTTTTCTCTAAATTTCTGAATGTATTCAATGTAATTTTCAAAGATTTTCTCCTCTGCTAATGAATTCCAGATTTGACCTGTTTCCATCAAATGCAGGAACATCACATTTCATTTTCTCAATGAAAGATTGGTCATATTATGCTGGCAGTATTGATGGTTGAAGTTCATCCACAATGAACTCGCCATACACAGCTGTAGAGATTGCACGATTTCAGTAGTTCTTGAAAATGTTGAAGTACTGCGGCCTCTGACTTCTAGGTACATTCTTACATTATAAACTTCATTGAATTTCTTGTACAGCTCAACAATTTTTTCCTCAGCAAAGTTACACACATAAAGACATATATTCACAGTGAATTCCTTTAAGAGTATATAGGTAGAAGCTTTGGATTCATATGCACTCATTTGATTTTTGCTACAGGCAATTATTTCTGAAATGTAGATAAGATTATATCCATGTTCTGCAATGGGCATCCTCTGAATTCCAGCCTCAATGTCCTTGGCAGTGTTTCTAATGAAGGCACATAGAGAATAATTATCCTTTACTATTGAAGTATTGGTTCTGCACTTTTCTTTAGATGGAGAATATTTGTTTTCCTGACATGAGTATTCCCATGGATCTTCCTGGCCAGACTTTTCTTCATTGCTAAAATAGCTGTAGCACAGCCTGTGCTATCCTGGACTCAGGAAGGATGCTGGAGGCAGGGTTTATGGTTGTATAGTTGTAAACCTGCAGCAAGTATAATGATATAAAACCATGTAGCATACTTTAACTATAAAAGATGACATGATGTACCAAGCTAGCAAAATCTGATATTGCAATGAGAAGTAAACAGCAGTTTTATAGATCAGCGCTACTACATGTTTGTCCATAATTTATCATAACATATGTGAGTCTGAACTCACGTAAATGGAAAAAGCAGTATTGAACTTTAACCAAATCTTGTGTCGTTTTTATATTAATAACAGTTAAAGAATACATACAGAATTGATTACACAGATTTTATTATAATTGCCTATCATATTATTAGAACAACATCTCTAGGCTAGGGTGGCCATCACCAAAATAAGATGCAAATTTATTGCATGCACATTATATTTCAGGATAAGTCAGTTATGCTTACAAAACAACCATCAAAAGGAAAAAAAAATCATTCATTATTTCCACTTTCCACAAGAATTCATACAATAGTCTTTTTTTACTTTTGTATTGACAATGTGGGCTGTTTTAATTAGTGAGTGAGAGAGAGAGAGAGAGAGAGAGAGAGAGAGAGAGATGTCAACTATGAGAACTCAACTATGACTATAGAGCTATGTCAGCACAGGTCCAGATGAGATGAACACATGCAATTAGTTTATCTGGCTCAGAGTTCATTCAGGATTCAACTCATTTCAAGAATTTTCAGTTATACTACAATTCACTTAAGCTTTCAATAGCTTTATCTTTAAAGCAATCCCTCCATTCACTGGGAATCTCTCCATGTCCTATGAATTTTTTCTTGTAATGCTTTTCCAAGTCCTCCTGGAATCTGCACACAAACCATTTCCAGTATGGCATCTCAGAATTATCAGGGCTGATATTCCATCTGGCATATTCTCCACCTGCAGTTCTGTAGTCTTTAAAGTATAAAACTTTATCATTTGCACGAAAATGCAGATCACTTAAAACAAGAGTTGTGCAGAATTCAATTCCAAGCTCATTTTTTAAAATGTAAGACCATCCATTTGTTCCACAGTTACGGTGGAAACGGACACTGTGATCTCCAGTGTGATCTTCCATTGTGTTGGTGCAGATGGCATTACAGAATGGACACTGTGCCCAGCAGCATCGGCAGAGGTGCTCAATCAGAATATCGTCTGGTTTCTTCCTGAACATTTCCCATTTGAGGTCAGAAATGTCTTGAAAGCTGTTGCTCAACTTTGGAATGATATTATTTAGACCTTTAATCACAACCTCTCGAAGAAAGTCAAGGTCTGTAATTTCTTTCTGCTCACTACATGACTTTTCTTTAAACTGAAGCTCATCTTGTAGTTTTCTGGATAAATGCTGAAGCCACATGCTGACGTCTCCATTACTACTTTTTATCTTCTCTGTCGCTTCATTCACAGCATCCACCACACACTTTCCTTTGGAGATGATGTTGCTTTTAATGGTTTCTAGAACCACTTGGCAGTTTTCATTCAAAACGTAGCCTTTGACTATCTTCTTAATAAAATATTTAAAATATTCTCTGGGTTTTTGAATGTATTGAATGTAATTCTCAAATGACTCCTCTTCTGCTAGTGATGTCAGAATGTGTTTTTCCAGATTTGACCTGTTTCCATTAAATGCAGGAACATCACGTTTCATTTTCTCACTCAGATCAATGGCAGTTTGGTCATATGCTGCCTGCAGTATTGATGGCTCAAGTGTATCCACAATTAGCTGACCAAACACAGCTGTAGACGTTGCACCATTGCAGTAGTTCTTGAAGATGTTAAAGTACTGTGGCCTCTGTTTCTCCAGGTACAGTCTTACATCATAGGCTTCCTTGAATTCCTTGTGTAGCTCTGCAAATTGTTTTGCTGCAAAGCTACAGACATAGAGACACAAATCCACTGTGAATTCTTTTTTTAGTATAAACCCAGAGGTTCTGCATTCATATGCTTCTACTTTATGTTTGACGGAGGCAATTATTTCTGCAATGTAGATGCGACTGTATCCACGTTCTGCAATGGGTACCTTCTGAATTTCTGCCTTAATGTCTGTGACAGTGTTTGTAATGAGATCAGTCAATGAATTGTTATCGTCTGCTGTAAAAGTATTGGTTCTACAGTTCTCTTCATAGAGACTGTGTTCCTCATCTTTGAGTACTTGACCAAATGCACAAGCATTATTGTCATCTTCCTCTCCCTGTTTATTTGATGATGGCAGATTTTCCTGGCCAAAGTCTTCTTGTTTTTTAAGAATGACATAGTCTGAGTAATCTCCTAATGCATCAATTCTTTTGTAAGTACCCTGGTTCTGTCGCTCACAAACGAGGTTTATTTCACAGCTTTCTGACAAGATCTGTGTTACATCACCCCATATATTAATGTCACCAAATGAGGGTGTGCCTGGTGTCAGCTCAGTGACCCACTTGGACCAGACATCTTCAAATTCTTTCTCAAGGGCATCTTCCTCAGTTTCTTTGTTTTTCAAACAAAAGGCGAGGTCTTTACTCAGTTTAAAAAGCTCATTTTCATACATTTTCTTTTCACAGTCTACTTTCTCCCTTGTTATTTTCAATCGAATAATATCGTCCAACTTTCTCTTTGTTCCTTCTACAAGCTCATTGCAAAGATCTACAATTTTTCTCTGAAATCTTTCTTGCCATTGGATCAGTATTTCTTTATCTCGGTCTTCATTAAAGAACTTTTTAATTGATGTTTCTACAACTGTCTTTGTCTCTTTCATGCATTCCACAATGTCCTTTTCATCAATCTTTAGGGAATTTTCATTACTGACTCTGTTGTGGAGTCTGTTCTCAATTGCCAGCATGGCACTCCTTAGACTCCATGTCCATTTACTGTACTCATGCTCCAGTTTCCTGTAGAGTGCAATTTCCAATATGTTTCTGAAGCTAAACACAAAATTTTCATCCAGAAGTGCATTCCATAAACTGCTGAAATTTCCTTTGAATTCTGACAACGTCACACCACGTTTCTTGGAGATTTTCAAGATGATGTTGCTTTTTAGCTCCTGAATATTTTCAGAGTACAGAGGGTTTGGTGGTGCCATGGGTGGGCTACCCTCCCAGAGCTGTGTGAAGTACCACACATCACTCTTCACATCAAATTCAATGACATCACTGAAACATTTTGCGTTGCAGTCTTCCTCTTTAGCAGCTAATTTTGTCATTTCATCAAGTTTGTCCAGGAAGCGTTTCCGTCCTTCCATGTTTCTCTCTCCAGCTGTGATTTCTCCAACATTCTGATGCACAAACATGCAGCTGGGATTCAGTCTGACCTTCTTCATCCTCATGAAGGCCTGAACAACAATCTGAAGGATGTCCTGCATCTCTGCTGGGTTCTCTCCAAAAATATTGATCAAAGTCATGTTTCCAAGACCTACAACAAATGTTGCAAGTCCATTGTCCTGTTGTCTTGTTGACATTCCAGTCAACTCTGGAGCCCGTAAACCTTCAGTATCAACAACAACAATATAATCAAACTTCAGTTCTTCCTTCATCTCCTCAGACACTTTGACCAGCTGCATGAAGGCTCCTTTGGTGCACCTTCCTGCACTGACTGCAAACTGGAGTCCAAACATGGCATTGAGCATAGTGGATTTCCCAGAGCTCTGAATTCCTAAAACTGACAAGACAAAAACCCTCTTGTCACCTAATTTCTTGATGAGTTCATCTAGAACCGCAGAAACCCAGTCCAGGGGAACATGACCTGTGTCACCATCCATCAGCTCCAGTGGATGCCCAGATAGCATCACCTCAGCTGCAATTTTGGGGAGAGTGAAATCTTTCTTTGCTACTTGAACACTGCTTAATGACTCATATATCTGACCCATCTCCCTGAGAATGTGTTCCATACCGAAGGACGCAGCGCTCAGTTTTTGTGATATTTCTTCAAGTTGTGTTTGGGCAGCCTTCATTTCTTCTGATTTGTCTGCTTGTCCTTTTAGGTCCAGAACTTTTGACCAGGTCAGATCATATGCTTGACGGAAGCCAGAGAGTTCATCTGTGGTACTGTTATCCAGCAGGATCCCAAGCCATTTTAGAAAATAGCACTTCTCATTTTCTGTTAGTGAATTCATTGTGCGAATGAACAGCTCAATAAGTTCTGAGAGTTCATGTTCATGTTGTTGCCTGCGAATCTCCTTCATTTCAGCTTGTTTTTCACTCTTTTGTATCTGTATGTTGTGCCCTTTAAGTCGGTGTAGTTCCTTTTTTTTCTGGCACCATTTATGCCACAGTTTCCCCTGACAGGGAAGATATGTCTCCTTAACTGTAGTCAGTTCTGTTCTTTCCAGTAGTAGCATTATCTGCATAGCAGCTTCCTTCCCTTTCTGGCATTCTTCTTTATTTTCATCTATTGAGATATCTTTGTTTTTGCCCAATTTTTTAAGACTGAAAGTAGAGAGTGATGTTGAAAAACACTCTTTGATGGTCTCTCTGAGCTCCTTGGATACAACTGCCTGATTCCTGTCTTTAAGACCAATTTTACATTTTAAGTTCTCAGTCCAACTGACGGTTGAGTCATCATCACTGAGTAAGCAAATTAGTGGCTTTGCACCTTCAAAGAGATTTTCTAGTGCTTCATTATCGGTGGTACTATCATCTTGATTGCCTAAAACTACTACATTCATGGAAGACATTTCAGTCAGAATCTCTAGCTGTTTCTTGTGATTTTCTGCATCACCATGTAGATTACAGAAAGCCACACAGTCAGTAAATTGATCAGTGCTTTTCCCAGATGGGCAGTACCAGGCGATCTCCACCACACCATCCATCAGGAGACGGTCTCTGGTGCTTCCTAAGCAGTTTCTGTGAAAGAATGTTTTGTGCCTTTCATTGATCAGGTCATTTATCAGCTGAGACTTGGACGAGGATATGGAACCAAGTCTAAAGAAGAATACCATTGGAGTTTCAGCTTCATGCATTGGTATCATTTTGCTGGTCTTCTTACCAGTAGTGTTACACGTCATCCAGCTCTTTTTGATCTGACGGAATGTCCATAGAGGAAACTCAATCTCTCCTGTAAAGGGATTGGGCACCAGTAGAGGCAGAGCGTACTGACACTGCGACAGCTTAGTCACTATCAGCTGTTTAAGAAAACTGTCTGAGTGGTGGAACACAGCCATTTGAACATCCATGGGGTGAACAGAATTTTTACTGGTTGCTTTATTAAGAGATGGATTTTTTTTCAAGAAATTTGCAAGTTTCTTCTCCCCACATTTGTTTGCTGGAGTTGATTGCCTGTGATGCACCTCACTGGCTCCATCTGTAATGGAAATATTTCTTGCCCTGTGGTCCATCAACAGCAATCTTTTTATGAACATTTGAACCAGTTCTTTTTCTGTACAGGGCTTTTGGCAGTGTAATGGTGGCGAAGTTATTTGAAGAATGTCTGCTGATTTTATTCTTTGTTTCTCATTTCTTTTTAACTCAAGTCTTGTAAACAGCTGGTCTGTTTTTTCCGATGTTATTTTTCCCACTGCTTTTTCTTCATTGTTATGTTGAGTATGTTCTGCTCCATCAAGCTCTATGTTTTCCCGCTGTAAAAAAGTTTCATTTTATTTTAGTTATTATATTTGAAATTGACATGATGCTTAATTTAAAACAGAACTTTAAAGTCCAAAAAATGAAAGGCTGATTTATTCACAGCCTATTATGTTTATAGTGTTTGACACACACATTTGAATTCACATCCGAATAAGCCTAAGTTTTGTAGAACTGGACTAAATTTTACGCATGGGTTGTGAATAATTGTTAGTTAGAATCAAAATAAGAATAAATTGGTCAGCTTACAGTAAGGAAAAAATATTAAGACACATTTGTTCATGTTATTTAATATTCTTCTAGAGCATATATATAAACCCTACTGTAAAAATAAAATATTACCTGGTACAAATTTCACCTGGTGTTATTATAATATGTTGCCATTGCTTGAGAAAGTTTTATGCAACAAGTAACAATTATGGTAAAGGTGAAAGACCTTCAGTCAAATAGAAAAAGCTACAGAGCCAGGGGCATTGCAGGAAACATGAAGGGAGCAATGTACCAAGAGGTATTAGATTTGAATGTAATATCATCAGCCAAGAAAGAGGAAAAGATTTCAAAAGAAGACAATGACCCTAAACATTCAACCAAAATAACTTAAGATTAGTTTCTTAAAAAGGTGAAGGTGCTTGTATGGTCTAGGCAATCTCCTGACTCTCCTGAATTTCAATGAAGGTTTATGGAGGAGTTTGAAAATGAGAGTGCAGCAGAGGGACCCTCATTACCTTGAGGACTTGAAGACAGATCAGAAAGAGGAATGTGCAAAAAATAAACTACGATGCAAAAGCTAATTATTTCTTATCATAGATGCCCCAAAGCTAAAACTGACAGTAATGGCTTTGCAACAAAGTACTAATGTTTGTCTGAACACTTTTTTCAGTTTAGTTTTTTTTTAATGTTTCTTTGTTCATGCTTATGAATACATACTTTATTGTTCATATTTATTTATACAAAGTCACGAATCATTATGTATGTAAATTTGAAGTGGATGTATGCACAGAGAGTATATGAAATAAAAAAAAAAAACTGTGCAGAATTGTATTCTCTGTAGAGGTTGTGTGCTTATTTTCACTTCAAAATCAACAAAATATGTCATTTGAGTAGGGGCACCCAAACTTCTGCGTACAGATGTATTCAGCTAATTTGGTACTCACCGAAAGATTTCGCTCTTTTTTCCAGAACCAGGTCGTGTGTGGCAATGACTTGAATGTCTTTCTTAAAGGATTTTTTGATACCTAGAATTATACAGTAAATAAGATATTACACAATAAATAGGAATCTTCATTATTATTATTATTATTATTATTATTATTGTTGTTGTTGTTGTTGATGTTGTGGTTGTTGTGTATCGAGATGACCCTTTGGCTCATAACGTGAAGGTGATAACAATCACCCTGCTTTATGTCTACCCCCTACATCTCATTTCTTATTCTTCTTCTATATCCCCCTCCTTACCCCTCCTCAAACTCCTTTCCTTCCCCCCCACAGATTTCAATGTATATAAGGTCCTTCCAAAATATTCTTATTAGACTGGACCAGATTGGACTGGACTAAACTAGACTGGTGACAGACTAGACTGATGACAGACTGGACTGGTGACACACTGATGACTGAGCTGTGCCCGTGCATGATCGTCTGCATGCACGCAAATAAGACTAGACTCCTGATACTGCTGAGTGACTGTTGACTGACCACTCTGTACCCATACTCTGTATATGTAAATAAACCCCAGTCAACGCTGAAGCTCCAGTCTCCTGACTCTTCCTGCTGAAATTCTAACAGTGGTCTTTTGCCCAGGGGACACGGTGTCTATGATTTCCAAAAAGAATTTCAAATGTTGATTTGTTGGACCACAGGACACTTTTCTACTTCCCCTCAGTCCATTCAATAAATGGACTTAAATAGGGTTTTGTATATATATTAGTATACATCAGCTGTTCATTTTTTTTTTTTTTATGTTAATTTGCATGATTCTGAATGGGTATGAAACCACTTACCTTTTCTTTTTCTGTTATTTGTTTGCTGACTGTACCAGCTGTCTTATACTTTGGAAGTTGAGAATCAGAGGCTGGTAACCCTAAAGGGTCAAAGAACATTATTTGTAACATGTAAGCAGCATATAAAATACCTTGTACTGTATCAGTCATGGTGTGTACTGTATCAACTGTGATAATGTTGAACACACTATGTGAAATTAGGTTTAATTATAATGCACTGTCATCACAAATAGCTCTAATTTTAAAATTGAAATTGCTGTTCTTGGAAGAAAACCCCATACCTCCAAAATGGTAACTTTACAGGAGAAGGAAAAAGCCTACTTACTTTTAAATGTACGTCAATGAACCAGACTTTTTTCCAAGTCATTTTGGGCCATTTCTTTTGGTCCATTCCTCATGAAATTTACACACATTGTAAAGGGCAACAGGCGTCTTCAAATTATGTAAAAAACTGAAATACGAGGTTTTCTTCCAATAGCAGTGAAATGTTGTGTGGGCTATTTTCAATATACACCAGTCAGGTATAACATTATGACCACCTCCTTGTTTCTAAGCTCACTGTCAATTTTATTATTTATCCACTTACAATATAGGCGCACTTTGTAGTTCTACAATTACGGACAATTACACTCTACCACCACATCAGTATTACTGCAGTGCTGAGAATGATCCACCACCCAAATAGTACCTGCTCTGTGAGGGTCCATGGGGGTCCTGACCACTGAAGAACAGGGCGAAAAAGGGGGCTAACAAAGTATGCAGACAAACAGATGGACTACAGTCTGTAACTGTAGAACTACAAAGTGCACCTATATAGGAAGTGGAGTTGATAAAATAGACAATGAGCATAGAAACAAGGAGGTGGTCATAATGTTATGCCTGATTGGTGTACAATGCTGTCATAGCTGGACCATAATACATGCTGATTATAAGATATCTATCAGTGTGCCATGTAAATAAAAGTAGTTAAACAGGTAATGCAGGGTATTTAATTTATACCTTGTCATGTATTGGGTCAAAGATCGATGTTGACCTAATGAAATGTTTACTTTCTCTACAGACTCAGCACATACAGTAAAATGTTCCTGTACACTCCTCTAATAGATTTTCTCTATTTTTATCATAAATGGTTTTGGATCCTCATACAAAATGTAAGGTTTCGCACCCATGTGGAAAATTAATTGCCATTTCCAACATCAATGTGGAGGAATTGTGGCCCACACTTATTTGCTTAAATTGCTTGAATTCAGCCACATTGGAGGGTTTTTGAGCATGAACTGCCTGGTTAAGTTCTTGCCACAGAACCTCAGAGTGTCAGAGTAGCAGATTATCCCCATGTCATCACACTACTACCACCATGTTTCACTGTTAGTATGAAGTTCATATTGTAGAATGCTGTGAATATATATATTCAAGTTTATGATTTATTTTATATACAAAACCTCAGCAGTTTCTGGTGTTGTTGTTGACTGACAATTAAATGCAAATCATTAATAGAAAGATTTTTAAAAATAATTGCTTACGGCTTTGTTGGCTCAATCTGTCTTCTCTGAGGTTTGAAGCTGTGTTGTACAGTTCTGCAGTGTAGCAGCGCTGATTGTTCTCAGAAATCAGGTAGTCAATCTTCTCCAGCAGTGTTTTCATCTCTGATTGGTTGTTCATATTCTTGCTGCAGGTGTGGTATCTGTCTCCACACTTCTCAACTAGATGTACTAGAACAGGATTTTTTTTCAGGTCGTCTATGATGGTGTCACAGTCTTCTAGTTTTTCATAAGTGAAGAGAATCATCACAAATCGAAGCACACTTTCACCAAACTTTTTCTGTAGCCATTCTAGTCCCACCTTATCAGCATCTGTTAAGTGGCCCAGTTGGAGAACAAAGACAAAGGCATGGATTTTATTTTCCTGGACTAGACGAACAATGGCCCGATCCACGTGAAGTGCATTGTCTTGCAGGTCAAGTATGTTAATTAGATTGACAATGCGTCCTGATATCTTCTTTGATTTTGGAACAATCACTGAGAAATCAGCAACATCTGCAGTGGGTTGCCCAAGCAGAATGTTCTCATCTCCAACTGCAGAGCTGTTTCCAAACAGCACAACAGTGAGATCTTGGACCTCTTTTTCTGAAATACAACACCATGCAGTTGTTTTAGATCCAGAAAAGAACTACCTAAATATTTTGTTTTGTTGATATAATTGCATATTCTTACCCATCTTATTAGATAATGAAACACTAGAACTTGATGGTTCCTGGGTTTTTTATGAGTGCTGTCTTCTTTTTTGTCTCTTCATTGCCTTTAAGAATAAACAAATTTCAATTATTACCCATTAAGATACACAGAGCTGGTCAGCCTTACATGCTCACTATACACTGCCTCCTCATCCCTTGTGTCAAGGATAAGGGGATGATGAGAAAAAAAGAAAAAAAACACCATGAGTATATATTATGAACGGCAGCTTGGAAAAGATAAGCACATCGCACATGAACGTGTTCATATGGATATGCATGAATAAAACTTGTGCTTTGCAGCAGCAAACTCTGCAATATATGGACGTGATGGCGCATTCTTCATAGGCACACATCATTTTAAAAAACAAAACAATGGTTAACTAGTCTCTCAATCAACATTTGGATCTCTCTGTGGGAAACTAGGAGGGCTGCTCCTTAAAAACCAAAGAGCATTGTCACAAGAACCCTCTGCAGCCTTCCACATCCCCAGCGTACTGGTCAGGATTAGCCACATGACAATTCCCTTGTACTGGGGCAGGCAGAGCAGGGGGATCTTCTGTGGAGCCTGCCACAATGGGTGGGGTTGGAGATGCGCCAGCACTGGGTTTGATGGCCTCAAGTGGTTGCTGTTGGGTCATCTTTTGCAGCAGCTGGTCATGGTGCCCAATTGTAGCACCCTGATATAGCAGGCTGCCTTGAATTAAATAGGAAGGCCAGGAATATAATGAATTTATGAATTAAAGAATAGTAAAAATACAACCTAAAGTGAGCAGTTAGGTCAGTTTGTGTGTATCTGTTACCAGAATATACACTGTCAGAACAAAACTCCCATAAAGGTACATTTGTTGTTTACCAAGGTACAAATAGTGTAAATGTGCTTTCTTTTAAGGTCTTATCATCTTTGTTTTTCAATCATCTTAGTTTCAGCACTGACTTTTCCAGGAGGAAGTTACTTATCTGTTCATTTTCATAATCTAACAAGGTCAACCTGACTTTTTTCCTCATCTAAAATCACATTATAAGAGTTGAAATGATTAAATAGTTAAAGAGAGGTAAAAAAATAATGAAGTATAACCTGAGGAACGGCACTTTTCAGTTTCATGCTGCCTTTTCCATTCTCTCCCTGCTGCCTGTTGTGAGCTCTGCTTCAGGAAATGAAATCCTGAAAGTCAGGTCTGTGTTTATGCAGGACGTGGAGCAGAGTTCTTAAAAATCACATGACTCAGTTACAAAAATGTGGTATATCAACCCTGAACAGGAAGTAGATCTAGATTAAGACCTTTTCTTTCACTATCATTACTGTAATGTTAATATTGTTAATATTGATCTTATTGTTGTGCTGTTGTCCTTAGTGGGCAGAACTCTGGTTGATTAATCACAGGGTTGTGAGTTATATACCAGAATCTCCTAAGTTGGCACTTTTGGACCCTTGAGCAAGGCACTTAACTCTCTCTGCCTCAGGGGCACTGTATCATGGCTGGCCCTTCTCTCTGACCCCAGCTTGCTAAGCTGGGGTATGAGAAGAAAAGAAATTTGTTGTACTGTGAAAGTATAATGACAATAAAGGTACTTGCTTACTTTCTTATATGGATGATATTACCACTTTATAGATAAAGTATGGTATGACAACTACTGTGGAGGTAGATATGTGGTAAAATTATATATATATATATATATATATATACACATATATATATATATATATATATACATATATATATATATATATATATATAAACTTAAATAAATCATAAGAAATTCAAAAATAAATAAACAAATGAATAGATTAGATATGTATGTCCATAAATAAATAAAATTTGGTCAAAAAAGCATAAATATGTGAATAAATATACATACAAATTTACAGACATTGACTGTAAAAAATACATTTTTTTCGGTATTTTTCATGATAAAATACAGGAAAATCACCTTTTTCTATAAATCTGCTGTAAAAATACAGTCAAAGTCTGTTATTTTAAATTACAAGTTTTTTTAACGTGGTTGTACCATTTTTTAAGAATTTTGAGTTTCAGAATTTTTAGTTATCATTGTAAAAAACACAGTTATCCATGTAAAAATACAGACCAATATAGTTGTTTTACATTTGTCCTTCTCTATGTGCGTTTATTTAAAATACAGAACATTGTTTTTTAACGCATGTTTGCTGTAATTATAAGTAATAAGCACATTATAACACCTAATGAACATTAATTTACAGAACTGTCCTATAAAATGACTTTCAATACAGGGTAATAATAATAAAAAAAAGTCCATTACCTGTTGTAAATTAACAGTAATTTGTTGTGTTAAAACAGTAAATGTATGGTAAATTAATTAAACTGCCATATTATCAACGGGAGAGTTAGTCATGATAATGAGGCAGAACCGGCGCTACAAGTAGAGTACAAGTAGTATTAATATGCTGGTTAGAAGAAAACGGTTAGAGGAACACAGTACTGATTCCTGATTTCTCACTGCGGTTCAGAATGGATCTGTTGAATTCCAGCATTCCTGATTTAATTTAAAGAAGGATTGATCAGATAAGCTAGTGCTGAATCTCAGATGGCTGCCTCCTGTCTATATAGTGCACTATGTGAAGTATGGAGTTTTGATGTCCTGTGGTGTAGTGAATTGTGTGCAGGTAGTTGAATCTCTTTGTTATAGTATGCAGTGTGTGAATGCAGGAGCTATAAGTTAAGGCCTATGTTATGCATTATGTAGGGAGTAGGGAGCCATGTGAGATTTTTTATTTGTGTGTTTGTATTTCATGTTTTTTATTAACTAATAACACTTACTGCCCAGATCAATAGATGTACATATAATACATATAATTGGGAATTTTGCAAAGTATTGTTTATATGCAATTTACAGTTTCTTTTGCAGTTGAATTTGCTGGACCTGGCAACCCTGGTTAATCCCTTGAACGAGTTTAGGTACATTAGTCTTAGGAATGTAATGTGATGGTGCATCTGTTAAATTCAGTTTATGCAAACAATTTCAAACATTACTTTGTAGTGGTCACTGTTGTATTACTGAGCTTATTTAATATGCTAATCTGACAGTAACAGTAAAGGTGAAAGATGTAGCTCTTGATAGAAGTACAAAGAGCTACATGCTGCAGACGTGATTTAACACCGCTAAAGTTGTTAGGATTCGTGGAAAGAGGTGAGTTTGCTGTAGGTCAGTACAGTTACATCATTGACCTCGTCACTCACACTCGGTCACAGGAGAACAGATCACCGGTCGCTCCACTCAAACAGGGAATGTATAACTCTGCGTTTCAGATGTTGCTAAAGTATATTTGGCGACCCTTTTTTTTTACTCGTGGCCCCCTCCCTCTCTAATCAAGTCGAAAAACTCGGAAGTGCGCCCTCACCTGGCGACAGCAGAGTAGTGTCACTTTCCTTGCAGCAGAAAATGCCACCAGGGCTTTCGCTGAACGTGGAAATGTGAGAATGGTGTATTATATCGAACATTTATCGAACATCTCTTATCACTCTATTGAGGAAAAATTATATCACGATACTTATCGTTATCGTTTTATCGCCCTACGTTAGGAAGTTAAGTAATGATGCAGTATGAAGGCTGGAATGTTGCTGTTTGTGCTACAGCTTGGCCTGAAGGATTAAATATATTTAAATCGCAAGAGCTGCAATATTTATTATATAAAATATATATTAACAATGAAGTGTGGACTCATCTGACAACAGCACACATTTCCAGACTGTCTGAGATGAGCCTGGGCCCAGAGAACTCACCAATGTTTCTGCATAGAACTGATGTACAGCTTTCTCACATTAGAGTTTTAAAGTAGCATTTCTTGATGTAGCGGTGGACCATTAAGTCACAACGGTTTTCCAAAATACTCCTGAAGTACTCCCTTCTCGTGCAGTGCCATCTGAGGGCTTGAAGATCACACACATTGTGCTGAGTCCTGAGTGTTGTGTGGTTGCTTAGTCCTTCAGGTTGCTGGCTTTGTTTTGAGCATGTGTGAATGAATCAAGAAACCTTTTTCTCATGCAGTTCCAATCTGAATCTTTTAATAAGTGTATGATGTTACAGTCCAAACTACAGATAAATCAAGAATGATACAGGAGGTAATTAGCGCTCTAATTCACATTATTGTTTATGTTTTAGACAGACATTATAAATCTTTAAAACTGTAGAAAGATTCACAGTAGTTTATCTTTTTGCCCCATTTGGTGTTTATTTTGCTAGGTTGCTGGGTGATGTCATGACTGTTAAAGTTCAACTGTCAAAATAAAAAGTGAAAGTATGTATTATTGTTGAGGTTTTATTGTTCTGGCCAAAGGTTTTACATTGTTTTAAAAGAGCAATAGTGTATTGGCTGTTGTGTATTTATGTAAAATTAAAGTACACCATTCTTTTATCTGCTGAAGTAAAAAGTAATTGTGCAGAATGTTTGTGTAATTGAGTATATTGACTCCTGTATAAAAACTGGAATATAACTTTTATATGTATATAATTTTTTGATAATGCCAAATTTCTGTGAATATACTGAATGATAAAATAAAAATGTTAACCATCTACTTTAATATTGGGTTAATTACATGTAATTTTGCATTGTATTTCTGTATTTAACCAGTAGAATCCAGTGATGTAACAGCGGTATCTTGTGGATAAACAGTACATTGTGATAGTTGGTAGGCGGATCAACCAACATTTAACTGTTATCCACTGTAAATTTGTAGGATAAGAACATTTATTGACAGATTATGTCTGTTGATAAATGTTAAAAGGATTGAAAAGACAGTAAAGTGACCATTAATTTAAATAATGTTTCTTTATTTTACTTTAAAAATCTGTACTTTGACAGGTGCATGTTGTAACTTGATTAAATAATTCTATGAAATTACTTAATTACGCTGTTATTTAAAAGATAGCAACCCTCAAATTGCAGACTTTATTGCAGATAAGATTTATTGCATGCAGATTTCCATGATTTTAATACATTCTAGAGATGTTTTTTAACAATGAAAATTTGTAATTCTACTAAACTTTGGCTGTAAAATTATACAGAATATTTACAAGGAAAAGCTGTAATTTTACAGTAATCTACTGTACCGAATTTTACTGTAAAATTACGGGAACTGTTTGGCAACTTTTGGTGCCAGACATCTTACCGTTTTTTACAGTTTTTTTTTTACAGTGTATACATATGAGCAGAAATACTGAAATAAATGAATTTGTATTGATTATAAGTTACATTTGTTTAAAAAATGACCTACAGGTGACCTCACCTAGGTATCACAATCCCTACAGCATCAACATCTGCAGCTGCCCAGTCAAACTCTGCTACAGCTCAGAATCCACGTGGCTAAGCCGTGTTTGCACACATAGTCAGTGGTCAGGTGTTAATGACCAATAATAATAATATATTCAGGGCATAAAATTACTGTCCGCCACCTCTGACACAGACACAAGTCTTGAAGGGACTCCAACACCTTCATATGTACATATATTTCATGCTCAGCTCTCCTAATCAATTCTCATTAATCCTTCTACAGAACACAGTCGTTGTCCAGTTGTCCACTGTCTAATTTATCCTGTCAAACATAACTGCCTCTGCTATCATTAAAATATGTCAGTGTTTCCACAACAAGGTAAGAGTAACCAAACACATTTTTTTCTCTATGATTAACAAATGCCATGTAGGTTTAGTCTTCCTTATTAGCATACTGGAGGAAGAAATCTATAAATAAATAAACCTATGAGTAAATACATAAACGTATAATTACATAAATCCATAAATAAATAAAACATTTATTAATGGGTTTATGTCATTCATTTATTTGTTTATTTATTTAGCATGGTTGATCTGCCATAAAATGCAGTATATAGAACCATATTCCAACTGTTCCAGTTTTACTACTGTTAGATTTGGGTATAATCATACATGAGTGGAAAGACAGAAGCTGACCAATAGAAGAGCTTTAATTCTGGATCCAGCAGAACTTTATTATGTTGCATGATGAGCTGTTCTAGTTTTATAAAATATTCTACTACACTGTATTAAATATTTGTTAAACCTGAAATGAAGAGAAATTAACATACAGAGTGTCCTCTAAATGTAAGCTTACCTTTATTTATTATTGTTAAGTGCTGTCAAATCTATCTGACATCTGGCAATCATGTGCATAGTAAGTAAGTGAGTGAGGGAATTTTACTTTTAAAGCATATATAAAACAACATTATTTGACCAAAGTGGTGCACATAAATAAGAAAATAAACAATATTAGGATTCAGGGCAAATACCAACAAATTCACACAAAAATGAATAATTAATAAAGAAATAAAATATAATATAAAAAAATAACAATCAACATATAAAATATTAAGAATTCAAAACACTCTTTTGAGAAAGCATGTTTTAGGTCTTGATTTAATGATATAGTACCATGCAGGGCAATGCTAGTACTTAAGGGTAGACTGTTCCACCCTCTGGGCACCAACCACAAAAGCCCTTAAGCTTCAACCAAGAAGTCTGAAATAGACAGAAAAAAAGCTTTAAAAGCAATTAAAACAACCACAAGTTGAATCCTGCAGTGGACAGGGAGCATACTGAGGCTAAAACTGGTGTAATGTGGTCCCTTTTCTTGGTACCTGTAGGAAGTCTAGTAGCCACATTCTGTTCTAATTGAAAGCAATCTACAGTTTACTTATGGTGTCCTACATACAGAGAAGTGCAATAGTGTAGACAGTGTTTTTCCAAAGTGGCCTGCCTTCTGTTTGGATCTTTAGGCTCTCAGTCATCTTAATGGGCTGCTCATGACACTCCACATGTTTAAATTGAATTTAGCCCCGATTCACAATCTAGCCGAGTCAGAGCTCATGGTTTGGTCCAAACAGAGTGTTTGATAGTAGCTGAAGAGTTTTGAAAAAGAGGACTCGATACTGAAAGAAAAAACAGGAAACCACAAAATCCATTCCAATAACCGGCACTTTTAGTTTTATGAACCCACACACTTCAGTGGTTACAAACATTTATTTATTAAGCCAAATACTTGATTGTCATCAGTGGCACACAGTTGCTGTGCTACCAGAATGTTTGGAGGTTGTGATTTGGGCCAGCTTGTGAGATTTTAATATGAGTGGTTCACAATTCGAGGTGATGGTATCAGTCTTACCTTCAAGTTTCCTGCTGCTTCCTCCCCTAGCTAGGTGTCCAGAGCTGTAGGAAGTTTATTCAGATGCGCCAGCCGATGAAGCCTTTATGGCCGCGTTTTGTTTTTATTTTTGAGATGCTGTTTCATCTGCTTTCCTGCACAGTTCACTGCTGTTTAAACAGCCTGCAACCTGCTGTGGCATCAGTCTGGGGAAGAGCCAAGCCACACAGGCTGGGAAAACCAATCGAGATCCCAAGAACACACACATAGAGGTCAGCGGGTAAATGGTGGTTATTTATTTAAACATCAAACAAACCCAAGACAATCAAATAAACTCAGCTTAAACATAATCTGTTCACACCTTACTCGACTCAACAGTTGCCCTCAGCTGACTGGTTGAGAGAGCTTAATCTGTCTGTGCTCCCCAAATCAGTCCCAGCTGTCTATAACAACAATAAGAAGAAAACCCTTTAGAATTATCTAAATTTCAACATAAGTCTGACCTAAAACACGATCAGATCTTGACCCAAGTCATAACAATAGATAAAGAGAACCCAATGAAACAAATAACAGAGAGAAATTACCTCAGCCTTGTCACGAGTGTTTCAATCAACAGATGACTTTGGCATGTTGTACATACGATACAGAAACACTCTGACTGAGAATCAAAAAAATTCAACATGGCTGTCTTTGTCTCATGCTCATGCCACACATTTGTAATGGCTAAACAGGCACTCTGAAGTAGTGAAGCTTCACATTTAGAACACATTTAAACACATTGCACTTTAGTGACACTTGGTGGACAACAGGACAAACAGCAGCTACAGGCAGCAGAGTTACAGGGTAAACAATCCAGATATATCCCTTCTAGAAATTTGAAAACAAGTTCTCATTTTCTAAAGCAATAGATATTTAGTAGTATAAACATGTTCTTTGAGTCTTACTAGATAAAACATTACATCATCTCAGAGGCTACTTTGAGAATAAGTTACAGGTGGTATGCAAACCTGCTGACTTGACACATACACTAATTATGATTTAAATTAACCCCAGTCCTTTACTCAGTCTGTCACGCTGTGGCTTCATCTGAACTTAAAATCAAGACATACTGACCTGAAAACCTGAAATCCACTAGTAAATATGAAATTTTGACTAGTCAAAATATAGATTTTGACTTGTGAAAAATTATTTTTACCTGTGAAAAATGTTAATTTACATGTATAAACTAAATTCCTCTGCAAAATTCAATGTAAATTGAAAAATTGGAACAAAAATCTTGAAATTTGCAAGTTACACCTTACGGTTATGGTTATGTCACATTTTGGAATAACTTTGTATTTTGGCCTCTTGTCCACAAAAACATTATTTAGTGTATTTTATAAAATGCTCTTTAGGGAGGAATTGTACTCTGTTTTCTGTGTTTTTTGTGTGGACAACCAAAACTTGTATGGTAACACTTAACATTAAGGGTCATAAATTAAAGAGACATTAATTGTGTTATTAATAAGTCATCAACAACTCATTACTTATTTATTAGTTAAGTGTTAGCATTAGTTGCTGTTTAGTTCCAGATTAACCCCTTACATGGACTGAGCCCTCTGGTGGGCCCAAAATTTTACTACACACTTAAGATATAACTTAAGAATAGTACAAAAGTACGAAGTACAAAAGCTATGTACTAACACATACATAATGAATATTTATTACCTATAAGCATAGATCAGCATCCATCATTATCAATTATTTGTGACCCTGTACTTCTTGTTGGAAAAAACCTTCTTCCTCCAAAAGAATATCTTGTATTTTGTTTAGATTTGGTTATTTGTAATGTTAAATATTTAATTGTAGTTGAAAAAATATAAAAATGTTTTTTTCTATAGACAAATACGCACTACCTATCATTTTAGTCAGGCTAAAACTGTCATTCTTCTGAATTTGTCTTCTATTCCTAATGACTCTATGGACTCCACTTCCCACAGTCCTCACCTCACCTGAATTCTGATTTCGTTCACCTGTGTTTGATTGGCTATGTTTGTATAAATACCCCTTTGTTCATCATGCATGTTGCAAAGTATTGCCATAGCTTCTGTGAGCACATCAAGCATATTGTGTTAAGGTGCTTTGACCTGTTTAGTGATCATCAGTTTTCTCTTTTTGCCTTGTACTTCTATTTAGTCTACCTGCTTCTCTGTTTTTTGACCTTAGCCTGTATCTCGATTATGTCCTTGTATCTGCATATCCTTCTCACAGTTTTGACCTGGCCGGAATTTGGTTATTTGACTTCGACCTTTCAACAATAAAGCCCTTTCTCTATTTTATATCCACAAGCATCTGGTTTGTCACAGTCACATTACTAAAACAGACTACAATTAATCAATATGATCAAAATAGGTCAAAATTTGAAAGGCTATTTTTCATTAAAGGCAACTGTGACTAAATTAAAAAGAAAAAATAAACGCTGTCCAGGACTGGGATTGAGACTCTCTGTTCTATGACATCCCTAAAGAAGCCTTTATGGAACCTTTATGTTTAAGAGTTCATGGTGAGTTCCGGCTGCAGATGATATATTATTTCTTTTTTCTTAAACGAAAAAACTCCACATCCAGTTAATAGCTGCATCTAACGTTCTACCTGGAATGGTCCTCGGAGATTCTGCTTCTGTAGACCCCTGCCCCTCTGCGGGTGCCTCTTCAAACTTTCTATCAACCTTGGCACAGAATTCTTTCTCAGCGTCTTGTCTTGCTTCTAACTTACTATTTTTACACAGTTTCTCCTTTTGTAGCTCTTGCACCAGTCTTGTGTGGGCCAGGTGTCGCTCTTCTTCTCTTCTATGAACTCTCGCTCTTTCCTGTTCAAACCTATGGAAAAGCTCTCGCTGTGTCCTCAAATTCTCTTCCAGTTGTTTCTGATATTGTTTTTCTTGTTGTTTTGCCTCAGTTTCTCTCTGAATTCTCATTTGCATTTGCTTAATCTTTTCATTCGCTTCATTCTCTATTCTTTTCTTCTCTTCTACCTCTTTCTGCTTCTTCCTTTCCTCTTCCAGGGCTCTTCTCTCCATCTCTAGTGTTCTCTTGTGTTCATACTGTTGCTGTTTCTTATTTTGCTGAAGTTTCCACTCATTTTCCAGAGACTCCATTTTTTCTCTCCACTTATTCTCCTCCAGTTCTCTCCACTTCTCCTCCTCCTGCATCTTCCTCTTCCACTCTCTCTGCTGAGTTAACCGCAGATCTAGTAGCTCCTTCTTTTTACTTTCTTCTGCATGTTTGATTTTCTCCTCTAACTCTCTCAATCTCTTCTCCTCCTCTGCTGCCTTCTGTTCATACTCCTTCTGTAATTTGTATTGATGATCTCTTTGTTTCTCGATCATTTCCTTCTTTATTTTCTCAAAAGCCTCTTTTTCCTCTCTTTGTTTCTGTTTCCACTCTTCTTCTTTCTTTCTTCTTTCCTCCTCTACCTGATCTCTCCGTCTCTGATCTTCCTCTCTCTGTCTCTCCCACTGTTTCCTGTTCTCTTCTCTTTCTCTGTTTATTTCTGCCATCCACTCTTTCATTTTTTTTTCATCTTCTTCTCTTTGTTTTTTGTAGAGTTCTCGTTCGAATCGTTCTCTCTCTGCAAACTCCCTTCTGACTTGCTCTTCTCTTTTTTTAAATTCCTCCTCTCTCCTTTTCCTTTCTCTCTCTTGTTTTTGTTGTTCCTCCTGTATTGTCCTCTTCAGTTCCTCCATTTCAGCTTCATGTTTGGCTCTCAGTTCTTCTTTCTCTCTCTCTATCTCCTCTTCTCTATTCTTCAGTATTTGATCCTGTTCTTGTTGTAGAGCTTTCTCTGCTCGCTGGAACATCTCATTAGTGTAGAAGCTTCCTCCATTCACTGCCACCATAGTGTCGATCTTCTCCAGTAGATCAGTGACCTGGGTGCGGTTTTCAAAGTTTCTGTTACTGAACACATGGTGTCTGTTATCACACTGGTGAATGATGTTTTGTAAGCTGTGCTCTGAATCTTTAATAAATTCTTCAATGCTCATTTTCATTTCCTGTAGATCATCTCCTCTGGTGAACAGCACCATAGTGTATTTTCTGGATTCTTCACCAAACAGTTCTTGGATCATCTTCACTGCATCTTGTTCCTCTTTTGTGAAGCGTCCCAGAGAAATAATCAGTAGAAAGGCATGTGGACCTGGAGCTGCCATGGTGATGCACTTAACGATTTCCTTACTGATGTCTTCATTAGAAGTATTTGTGTCAAACAGCCCTGGAGTGTCAATCACAGTAATAAGTCTCTTCACCTTATAAGCATCATCAGAAGATTCTTTTTGACACTCAGTGGTAACTGATCGAGCGCAGAGTAACTCTCTATAAAGTTTTTTCCCCAGGATTGTGTTTGCTGTAGCACTCTTCCCAACTCCAGTCTTCCCCAGCAGCACAATCCTGAGGTCACCTGGTCTCTGTGTTTTACCTGCAGACACATAAAAAGTGTTTGAACTTTTTTGTTTGTTCTGAATAATAGAGATTAGCAGTTTGCCAAACTAAATGTTCTAACAAAACAAAAACTAACACATCTTATCAATGTGAACATAATTCACTATAATGGTCCACACAATTTTTCAGTGTCCAGTTGCAACAAATGTGCAAGCAGAGCAAACCGTAATGTGAGCAAATGTTCATGGCCTGTGAGGATATATACAGTATATGAAGGCTGTATCAATTAGTGGGCAGTCCTACTTACAGTCTGCATTAGTTATGAGTACTGAGGTCGCATCAAGGTACATTTTGTGCTAGACCTGCACTCATACATGCATCTTGTCTTTAATCCAGCTATGACATCTTTGTTTCTATATTTTATTAATTTGATTAAGTACATTTAATTTTGAATAGCTGTTGATTTGATTTCTTCTGTTGGACAGCATCATGCTTATTTTTTAATACTGCTAGTATTTGTTTTTCTTGTCCTCCAAAACAAAAGACATGAAGAATTACCCTAGTCAGGGACAAATCATGGCCCACCATCCCCCACCACACTCTGACAATAACACAGCAAATACCTACACAGAAATAATTAAAGTAATAAAAATTAAGCTGAGCTGCCTCAGGCCTTGTGCTCTGAGGCCGTCTAGGGCCCTTGGCAATCAGAGGCCCCCTAGGGCCCTGGCCCCACTGGCCCTGTCTTTAATCCTTTCCTGACGATAGTAGCAATTATTTTGATGATGTTGCTATAAGATTCTATTTCTAGGCAGCCTACTTGGCCAACCACACATGCCATTCAGCTTGAGTGAGGTACGTACATTGGCTATGTAGATGACTGGCTAACATTTGCTTCTTATAGCATTCTCTTTTTTTGCAAACCTAGTAATGTCATTATTTAATCATATAAAAATCCACAATAAACTTCATAGTGGGTCTGCTCCTATACAGTGCAGTGTGTGGCAGAGGCAGGAGGTATGTTTAATTATGGCTAAAATGATCTTTTCAGTGTCTAGCTCTATCCATATATCATCTAGTCACACTTTAAAAACATCCTGAGAATTGAAATATTGTTTATTATTATTATTATTATTATTATTATTAAAATATGTCATAGCCTTAAACAGGCTATGCGTGCTCGAGTGGTGGGGGGCAACTGGTAAATCATGTCTCAAAGAAGAATGTACACACCATAAACTGAAAAATGGTGTTTTTGTTTTTGTTATTGATAGCACTTAAAAACTTTCTCTGTTAATGTAGGTTTAGATACTCTATAGGCTATAATTAACAAATCCCTGGATCAAGAATTCTGAAAAGACTATCTGTAATTAACCACAATTAGCCAGTTATAAATTAATATAATTTAGACAACTCATGGTAGTCATTGTCTGTAGTTAGCCTTTAATTTTATTGCACATCAGCTAGCAAGATGGGGGGTGGGGGCCCAAATAAAACCTGCTTAGGGCCCCAAAAGCCAACCATGGAGATGGGGATATTAAAAGATGTGAACTGTGGGGTAATGTTTCCTCTTTGTCATTTCATTGTTTCTGAGAAAACCAGTGATAAAGCTTTTCCTTCTTCATGCTTGCAGATGTCCTATAGCATTTATGAAGCCCTGATAATGAAAAGCAAATCTGAACTGCACTAAATTGTAAGTTTAATAGTCTAAACCATAACTACAGTTCTAAGGAAGCATTATTATTATTTTTTTAGTTGTCATTTATTTTGACTAATATATGTAAATTGTTGTTAGGCCAAGTATGATCTATAAGGCATTTGGTTGCTCATTTATTTTTCATATACACTCCTGATCACTGAAAATACATTTGCTGAGAACGTAAAGAGACAACTCTCAGATAACTTTCCACAGACTGTGCAATTAACTATTCCAGCCATGCAAACACATTCGATGATACCTTGTATGGAAACAGTCGTATCCTCAAATGATCTAAAGTGATTTAACGTGATCTAACCACAGGATCTGTTTGAGAAAAAATATAAATATAAATATAATATAAAGCCCCTCACCTTCTGACTGGCCCTTCCCATTTAACTCCTTAATTATCTTGTTCATTTTGTCCAGTTCTTCGTTATGCTTCTCTTCTAGTTCATGTCGAATTCTTTCCTCTTGAGCCATTACATACATGTGGAGAGAATAATGCTTGTGTTCAGTCTGTCTTTTAATTTCCTCCAGTAGCTCTGGAACTTGTTTGGGGTTTCTTTCCACTTTTATTTCCACTATTCTATACCTTTGTCCACAACTGTTGATAAGCGTCTTTGTTTCTTTGTTTTCCGAGGCAAAAAGAAGTATTAAGTAATCATTGACTGTGGAGCTGAAAATTCTCTGGATCTTCTCTATTTCTAATTTGTCTTCATCAGTGAGGCGTCCCCCAGGCACGATGAGGAGGAAAGCATGAACTCCAGGATCACAGAAGGAGACACACTGAGAACTCTTCCACACCATTTCCTCCTCTGAGAGCTGAGTGTTGTAGAGAGCTGGCATCTCCACCAGAGTGACCAGATGTCCACACACTTCTCCCTCCCTCCTCACACACACTGAGCTGGACTCTGGACGGCGCTCTCTCTGACCCAGTATGAGATCTGATATGGAGGTCTTCACTGCTCCATCACTCCCACACAGAACAAAGTTCAGCCTCTGAAGCGCTAAAAAAGAACCAAATTGCGGCTATGGATCAGGTTTAGAGGCAGAGAAATTCATACTAAATAAGCAGTGACTGTCAGGAATGAATGTATATGTGATTATTTTTTATCATTTACTAAGTCTAAAGTGAAAGGAAACTGGAAAAAAAAACAACTAAATAAATATTAAAATGTACTTTTCAGCAGATTAGTCTTCTCTCCCTGCATGATTGGTTTAGACTTATTCTGTGTTGGGTGTTCATGCTGTTTCTGTTCTTTTGCTGCTAAAGCAAATAGCAATACTTATCTTAAATATAAAATAATTAAGTAGTACTTTACGTTCATTACATTATAATGTTGTATATGATAATTATTTTGTAAGAGAGCAATAAATGCAAACAAAAATAATTAAATCTAATTTAATTGTGTTAAACTATACTTACACTTTTCCTTGCTTTTAATATTATCCTTCAGCATATTATTATAAACTGTTGGTTCAGACTTCTTCTGTGTTGTTTGTTCACACTGTTTCTGTTCTCTTGCAGCCAGTGCCTCATATGTCCCCCACTTCAAATAACTCCCACCGTTCTCTTCAACCATCACTTCTATCATGTTCAGAAGAGCAACACGACTGCCTCTACCTCTAAACTCTGTATGCCTGTTGTTGCATTCTGTGATGATCTTCTGAGAGACATTCTCTTTAACTGGATCTACTCTGGTGCCGGACTGCAGTGTTTGTGTTGTCAGCACCAGGGTGTGTTTAAGAGTCTCCTTAGACAGAGAGCAGACGATGCTATACAGTCTGTCTCTGTTTGTCTCAGTGAAGTTGTCAGGCTGTAGAACCAGCACTATAACATGAGGTCCAGGAGCGCAAAGAGACATGCACTCTGTCACTCTGCGAATCAGTTCATCTACAGAGGGTTGAGAGTCAAACAGGTGAGGTGTGTTGATGAGGGTGATGTTTTTTTCCTTTAGTTTTCCTCTGGCTCTCTCACTGCGCTGCTGCACAGAAGGAGGAGGAGCTTCAGTATGGAACGCATCTCTGCCCAGAATTACGTTTCCCACACTGCTGATCTCTGAGCTGTTCTTCCCCAGCAGCAGAATTCTCAGCTCTGCAGAATAAAAGAAATATAGGAAAGGAAATATACAATCTAGACAATCTAGAAACCTAGCAGATATGTGGTACCTGAAACTGCAGCATGGGTAGGAGCCACTGGGTCCATATTAATTGCCATTTATATAGCCTTGAATTCTAAACCCACCATCTGGCTTCTGCAAATTATGCTACAAGGAACAGTAAAACTGTTATGCTCCACCACTTTTTGAAAATACATTAGAACATATAATGAGGCACTGGTAACTGCAGATTCTCATGCTCAAACTGGAAAGAAGTGATGGTACAGTGTGATTCTACTTCTTAAGCAGACTAAACAGGGTTGGGATGTGCTGACCCATACAGATGCATCATAGAGAGCATCCTATTCTGTAGTATCACTGTCTGGTAAGGAAAGTTCTCCATCTCAGACTGGAAAGCACTGCATCAGGTAGTGAAGACTGCCCAGTCCATGGTCATAAAGCATTCCTGATTGATACAAAATCTATGCAAATTACAATGAATGCCTCATACATAAAGCATGTTGTGCAACTGTACAGTAACATTAACACAAAATTACATTATTGTTTCTGTTCCATGCCGCTAGGTGGAGTTCTTTTATCTACAATTGTTCTGCAGTAGCAGTGTTTGTTAGCAGGTTAAAAGCTCACCAGCCAGCTGAGTTTTTGAATCATTCTTGCTGCTGTCTTTTCTAAGGGGTTTTTGTGTTGTGTTTAAAGGTTCAATTATGTTGTCTGTGGGAAGTTAAAAATTTTTGTGCATTATTTTTTCTATATTGGTGGTGGAGACTGCATGTTTTTTTCGTATGCAGAAGATCCTGGAGCTAGTGCTTTTTATATGTTAAGGTGTTTTTGCATGGAGGGTGCACTTACTGGTGACAAACTTTTTGTTTATTGCATGAAGTTGACACTTGGATGAGCAAATACTAATAATAGATAACAGTGTAGTAAGTATAACAGCATCATGAAAGAGAAAAGGTGTGATGAGTATAGTCATAATTTTAATAAGAATAATAGTTTTCACAATGAATCACATCATAGCGACAATGACTGCAATTATGACGCAATTATCAACAATGATAATGATAAAAAAACAGTTATAAAAGTTACCTGACTTTTATAATAATACTAGATCATACATAAATAGTTTTTCGTGTGGCTCCCTGAAGCCTGATGCATAATCTCTCATGTATCGCAATATGCAACGTATTAAAAATCCAAGTATTACATAGAAGAAGAGCAGGATTAAGAGAATGACAGCCTAATGCCAAGATATGTGAACACATGTTAGAGATAGTTAAAGAAATCTGAAGTGATTTTAAAGGGGTCTTACCCTGAGAGGGCACTGAAACAGATTTGCGCCAGGTAACCTTACACCCTGGAAACTGACCTGAAAAAGGAAATAAGGCTATAGAGTGAGGAGTTCCCTTTATAACAAATGGTTTTATATCATGGGCCCTAAAAAAAATCAGGGGCTCTAAAAAACACAGCTTTAAGAAGAACATGAACAATAAAGGGCTCCAAGAACAGCTTTGACATGTATTGTGCCGAAGATCAGATGGTGCGGATCGGAAAGTATTTGCGTGAATAACTGCGATTAGAGCACTATAAGGAGTAGACACCATATTAATAAAAGTTGAGCCAAATTTACACAGAGCCAATCCCACTCCAAGCTGTCAAAAGCCTTCTCCACATCTAGTGAGAATACAGCACATGAGTGGGAGTTATTTACTTTATCAGTTACATAGAGGGGTTTCCTGTTTACAAACATTACTGTGTGCCTGCGCAACCCAACCAGGGGGAAAAACTGCTTTGGTAACTTAGCCAGTCACAAGATTTTAATGTAGATCCACTGTTGTAATCAAAATACATTTTTTGACTCAAAAATAAAATGCCATTTCTGAGTTGGATCTCTTTGTATGTATTTCATTGGTATATTAATATAACGTTATGTAAAACAGGTGGATACAGGACCATGACATAGCCAAGATCTAGAATCATGAGGAGCTGCTGGGAAGGGTTCTATCCATTATTATGTTTTCGCAAGCATTTGTGGTAAGTTCTTCATACCAGTTCATAGACATGTGTAGCGCTCCCATAAGCACAGAAAGGAGTTAAAAAACCTGACTGATTAATATCTATTTTGAGAAATAACTAAAGCAGACACATTTATAAAGTGAATTTATTATGAGGCCTTACTATTTTAGCCAGGCTGAGGTGAATTAATGGTCCAAAAGCGCAGCAAATGGAATGAAAAGGCAATGAGTAGGTACTTAGTAAATGAGTAAAAAATAAGAGTCAAATTTCTTGGTACACACACACACACACATTTTCTAAAGCGCTTATCCTTCTAGGTCACAGGAGTTGCTGAAGCCTATCCCAGCAGTCATTGGGAGGAAGACAGGATACACCCTGGACAGGTTGCCAGTCCATCACAGGGCAGACAAACAGACATATACATTCACTCGCACACACCCACATTTAGGGGCAATTTAGCATGTCTAATTGGCCTAACTGTATGTCTTTGGACCGTGGGAGGAAACTGGAGAACCTGGAGGAAACCCACGCAGACACAGGAGAACATGTTAACTCCACACAGGAAGGACCCTGGTCACCCAGCCAGGGAACCGAACCCAGGCCCTTCTTGCTGTGAGGTGACAGCGCTACCCACCCAAAAGTCTTTCTAGATTTTAAGCAAGTGCCTAAAATATTCCTTCTTGCTTTGATTATTTATTCTGCCTACAGCTTGAAATGAGTAAAAGAAGCTCTACTTCATAAGTGACCAATAATTACACTCTTAAAAAAGTGGGTCTTTAAAGGTTCTTTAGTAAAGACAATGGTTTTATATAGAACCGTGAACACTTAAGAAACTATTTGCATGATTAATGGGTTCTTTGCATCGTGAAATGATTCTTCAGATTGATGGAGAATGTACTGTAGATGGTGCTATATAGAATCTTTTTGAGAAGAGTTCTATATAGCACCAAAAGGGTGCTTCTATTATTACAATGTTTAGCTTGTAATGATAGAAGAACTCTTGGTGCGGTATAGTAGCACCTAACTGGATTCTAAAGTGACATCAGGAACTTTCTGAGAAAAATTAGAAGGCTTCTCCTATAAACACACCCCTATCCCAAACCACACCCCATTTACAGTGGAGGAAGGGCCAGCTAATGGACTGCAGTGAGATTCTGTTTAAGTCTCTCTTTAATTTCACCACATAAACTCCCAAAAACTGCACAACTCATTTAGATGCTTAAAGTGTAAAATGGATACATTAATTTCTTATTACTCTTGTATAATAAAAAAGTATTACTTATCATTGAAAATATTATTAAATATTAAATATTTTCACTATTATTAAAATATTACTTAAAAATGATTAAATATAACAATAAAAACACACAGAAAACAGCAACAAAACAACAAACTACTTTTATTGTGCTAGACCTAATCCTAATTGTCCTAATCACTTCCATACTGTCCAGCATTGCCCACATTTAGATCAGAAAGTGCTCAGTCACCATTTTTCTTGACTGAATCCATAAAAAAGTGTTATATTATCCTTCTGGCTTAAACTGTAAATAAAAAGTATATTGTGCTACAGTTATCAAACGTGACTGCGATCAGTATGATTATTCCTGCGCAGACATAAAAATAAACAATTACTTCTCAGTTGTTTGTGCTATAAACAAGTTTTACAGCTCTTACCGTTGCCCATTGCCATTTTGTTAGTTGTTAAGCTGCACTCTAAAGTGAAATCAGGAAGTTTCAGAGAAAAATCAGAAGCCTCCACTTATAACACACCTCCATCCCAAACCACACCTCATTCTCTGAGGAGGAAGGACCAGTTTATTGCAAGTGTTGCAGGTAGATACACTGTAAAAATGCAGTTTGATGATTTGATACCTTGTTTATTTGAAATGCTTGTTGTGTGAGTGCTGTCTTACTGCTGTTAATGTAAAGTCAGTATCATTCATTCAGTTCATGTATATTTAGATATATCTGTAACCTTTGTTAAAACTACATACAATTGAATACCATAACAAATATAAATAAATGCATTTTAAAAATATATATTTTACAAATACATTTTTGTCCATTTTTATACATTGCAAAAATTTTGATAAATACGATTAGAATATGTTTTTTTTCCCATATGGGTCACAATTGTATTTTTCCAAAATTCTCTAGATTTTTACCTACACACTTACACAGCAACTCAAGTGACCAGAAAACAAGAAAGTAAGACAGTAGGCAAAACATATTTTTCTTTTTGTTCTACCCCGGGAGCATGACGGATGCATGAGGAAGGAGTGATGCTTGCAGCAAGGATTTACATTTTAATTTGCACACAATACACAATATGAACAAACCAAAAACTTTACAAAACCAAAGCTGGCCACCTCTCTGTGGCTTCAGGCACGACTTTTCAGTTATTTTGGTCAATCCAAGGATCAAATATGAGGCGTAGTACTGTGGCCTTGTTGAGGCACAGGAGGCAGGGTTCAAGGGACTTGTCTCTTGTGGCTGTTCTATCACTTGTTCTCCCACTCTCTGTCTCGCAGGTGATGTTCACAGGGCCTGCTTCTCACCCTCTCTCATGACTAACTTCAGAATGCTGCACCCCTGAAGGACAGTTTAGCAGGAACTTCTTTCCAGAAGTGACAGACCGGTGTAAATGTCCAAAGTGCATAAAATGAGTTATCAGTAGTTTTTATTGTGCATTATGTTTGAGCCAATATTTGCTATTTTGAAGATTTTGTGTTGCCTAATGTGTGTCCTATGACTGACAACTGAAGAAATGCATAACAAATGCAACTTAACACACACTGAAGCATTCATGTGTCCTCATAACACTCCCAAATTAAACCTAATGAGCATCTCTGTCCATTATCACATCAATCTAACACATCAAAACCCATCAGACAGTGTCAGGGATTAAGCTACTTCTGCACAGGACAAATAAAACGGCCTGCATCAGCTACCTTTATTTTGTAAAGAAAACATGCACACGGGGCTCCATAGTTCCTTGTAGACAATGTGTTAAGATATTCTTACTGTAATTGAAAACAAACAACAGTCTTTGCACAAGGAGAAGTTCAAAAACATTGTCTATTAAACTTCCACCATGAGCTAAAATGCCAGAGATAAAACTACCAGTTATAGCCACAGGCACTGATGAGACAAATTACTGCTGACATCCTGACAGGTGTAGATGCTTCACTTAACAACGAAATGTTTTGAATGATGAAAAAGCTAGAAACAATATCTACTCACATCTGATATGGCAGATAATTCTCGATCCTGGCATTTTAGCGTGTGTCTTACATGAATTCGAACATTTTTATGTTTTTGAGTTTTGTGTATATGCCTGCCTGTTTACTGACTCCTGCCTGTGATGAGTGCCAGAGAGGTGTTGGGAGTTTATGGGTGAGTGACAACTCTATTTCACCTATTACTTGCAGTGTTCATGGAGTCCAGCACAGCAGAGGAGGCCACCATGAAGAAGAGAGCACCAGCGACCCAGTGCCACGTTTCACAGTGCCTTCCAGTGCTCCAGAGAACACAAATGAGCTGGTTCTTTATCCTGTCCTCCTGCCTGTGGCTTTAGTCCCAGTCACTCCTGTCCACACAATGACTTGGGCTCCATCCCTGGCCCTAGCCCTGACCTGAGTGGTATCCTGCTGCACATGCAGCCTGTCTCTCCCCATTTTTTAAACCTAAATAGTTCTGGGCAAACTTCTTGCATTGCCCGTCTAGTGATCAGTGGTCACGTACCAGACTGGTAGGCTACTATTCAAGGAAAGACATTAATATAATTTTCAGATCGTTTTATAAGCAGTTATACACATCATATGAATGTAAGTTCAGGTGTTCAGTCCAGGTATATAGAAGTCAGTCGGAATTTCAGAATAACATTACAGTATAGTATGCATATAGTTTGAGTAGTGTTTGTTTTCATGATCTGGCAGGTCCTGTGGGTCCCATTGAACCTAGTTCTAGTCAAAGTCCTAGTAGTCGCTAGCAAACTCCTGGTTTTTGTTTTGTAGTCTAAATTTACTAGAATTAAAAATAAGACTTCTCTCAAATTTCCCACTGCTTATTAAGTTAATGCAGTTTTTCATGACCTCTTTTACCCACCTTACCAAGGGTGCAAATAATTATGGAGACTCCACTACTACAGCACTAATGTAGAGACACAGTTAGCTGATTCGCTAACTAATCTGAGCTAAGTATGTTCTTTTTCTATGTTTGTTTCACTGTCTTGTTTTAAGATAATAAGCATGTAAGTGATTTGCTAAAGTTAAAGCTGCTGCGTATGTTCTGTTATGAGTGCATGCTAGCTGAATTAGCTAAGTGAACAGAACATACTGTGAGTTTTAATTTCAATAATGTAGCCAACTCAGGTATGTTTACAATTTTTGATATTACACAAATAAAAAAAGCACTCAATAAATAACATATTTACATTTACTTTGTCTGATTTTCTTTATTAATATGTTTTGTATGCCATTTCTTTGATGATCTTTATCTCCAGGTATTTCACTTTATACTAGTCTTCCTGGTCATAATTAATTCCTAATGGAGAACACAGTAACAGCTTGTTTATTAGTCATGAGTTAACCCCTTATTCCATACTGTGGCTTATTATTCAGTAACTATAGGAACTTCATTGCAAACTGGCTGAGCTATTCTTAGGTTTTGGAAGTGTGTAATAAAACTTTTGGCCTGCCGGTGGGCCGTGGCTATGTAAGGGTTTAACCTGTTATATTTTGTGATGTTCCAGAAGATCTTTAACTCCTGATGAAGAACACCTCATTCATTATCTAACAAATAGTAATTATATAATCCCTTGGTAATATTTTGAACCAAGTAAATTTGAAGGTAGAACAAATTCAGAGCCATATATTTCTCTGAGCCTTCTCTTCAACTGACCCTGCCCTCAAGAGGACTTTAAAGTATAACTACTGTTCAGATGAAACAACACTGGCACACAGGCTCCCGCAGAATAAAATGGTGTTGTCTTTTCTACAGATGAGAGGTAAGCAGACTAGTCTACTGAATACTATAGCATTTTAGCAGTTGTAGGCTGCAGGCTCATTTGTAGGCGGATGTGGCAATTATTTCACAGTGCCAAATATGAAGATGTGCATTAGTCTTTTAAGGTGGTTGATTGAAATATACACAAGGGCTGGTGTGGTGCCACCACCTTCTCTGAAGATACTTGTTTCTGTGAATAATAATGGAGGATACAATCCTTTATATTGTAGGGACTGCACACTGTGTAGTGATCAATACTTTTGGAAGTTCACCACAAACATTGTAACACTCAGCTATTGAGCCATTCGTGTTGAATTGATCAACAATTTATGAGAAGTTGTTCTAAGAAACCGTGTTTACTAAGCAATTCTCTATGAGACACAGGAGTTACTGTGTAGTGACCTACCCTAATCATAATTCACTATTATCCACTGAGTAATTCAATAGTACTCTTTGGTAATTAATAGTAGTTACTTAAGTTTTAATACAACATTACTTGTTCATCTTTGTTCCTGAACAGTTACCTATTAACTACAAAATAGTATTGTCAAAAATGTTACCCCCATAAATATACTAATACCATTACAGTTACTGTATCAGTCCTACAATCACTCATAACTGTACTAATGCCATTACAGCTACTACATCAGTCCCACAATCATCCACATCTGCTCTAATGCCATTACAGCTACTGCATCAGTCCCACAATCATCCACATCTGCTCTAATGCCATTACAGCTACTGCATCAGTCCTACAATCACCCATATATGCACTAATGTCATTTCCATCTGCTTCTGGAATGGCTAAAAAAGGTTATAAGTATATTTCAATACTATTCAAGAACTATCAGGGATGATTATTTAAACATGTGTTTTAAGGAAATAATCTATAAAGAAATAATCATCAAAGTTTTCTGCTCACAACTTGCCATTCCTGTCAGGCCTGATATTCAGACAATCAAGGTCATGTAAGGTGTGACATTTAGGTGTTGTTTTAAAACTCAGAAATAGAACCTCAATTAGCAATATATAAAGTGAAACTCAACACTGAACACTCGGGAGGGGCCATAGGAATAAAATGACAGAAATGTGGTTTTGGCTTGTTTTGCTGCCTCAGGACATGGGCATCTTGCAGTCATTGAGACAATGAATCTTTTTTTACAGCAGCCAGAATAAGAATTTCCCCATTTCACGCAAATGTTGCAACGAGTGCCAAAAGACATTCCTTCACCTCATTCATGTCCAAACGATAGCAGTGTGTCATATCAACTGTGGGCTCAAAGCTACAAGGTAATTCAGGAAGCTCACAACAAAGGCATGGGCATGGAACTAGATGTAGTTATGGCTGCTGAGTTACCTACTAGACTGCTACCTGAAGTCAACAAAAAATCCTTTTTTTTGGTCATAAAGATGTTATCATGTCTTTTCAGACATCACCAATTCATGTTATAGATTGCCAAATGAAGCTCTGGAAGTGTATGCTGCTGACATTTGTCGGCTTGTGAGGGAAGCTTTTCCGGACGGCAAAATGCAACCAAGTACACGAAACAGTCGAGATTTTTGGCTGGATTAGATCAAGAGCTTCCAATTAAATGTTATGAGAAGGGCGTGAAAACATTCCAAGATGCATTTGAAGCCACATATCTGACTGAGTGTGCTTGTCAAGCAGCTAAACTGGTACAG